CCCAACGTTCGCACTGTGACAGCCACAGACAAGCGGTTCTTCTGGCTGAGTTTGTATGTCACACCTGCTCTGTGGGTGGGACTTGCGATATTGGCTATTGTGAGACTTGTCGGTGTTATTTGGCTCAGTCTGATTGGTATGTTACTTCCAAGATACTTTGATATATACCAGTGCTAGGTATTGACTTTGATTTAGTTATTGCGCTCATCTTGACTATCACAAATACTATGGCCTTCTCTCGCTGTGATAAGTTTGGCCAGGCCTCCACATATGCTAGCTCGGCTCTGGGTGGTGGTATTGTGAACAACATCGCTGGTGGTCTGCTGGGCAGGCTATTCCGGTAATAGTAGACGGGTTTCTGTCTTGCCGTTAGTGGCCCTATACCGCCAGTTTTCTTGCATGTGCTGTGTATTTCTAGCGGAATATTTGACCACTTACCATTCAAATGCATGCAATTTTCAAAAGATGGAAACTCATCTGTAGCTCTAATGTGATTTGCGCAACCAATCTAGTATAAGTTGCTTTCGAGATGAAGCAGTTGCCTGAGGCAGGTCAACATATCGCTCCTTCCTCAAACAGGTAGTTTCCACTCCAGCGTCACCTACCGATTAGGTTTGCTTTCTTTTTCCTCTTCCCTCTCCCTCTTCTTTTCCTTCCCTCTCCCTCTTCGTTCAATCGTCATAAATTTCGCGCACCCACTAAGCATCGAAAAACATGCTGGTAAGTGTCGTTATGGGCATTGACCTTGCACCGTATCTCTCTCGATGATAGCGCTTTGGAGAGTAATCCACCCGAAAAGATCGTGTTTCGATTCTCCTAGGTGATCATGTTCATCTGCCTTTTCTGCCTTCTCTGACACCTCCCTTGTCCTCCCCTCTTTTTGAATTTGCGCGCTTCCATCCTTCACCCACATGGAGAGATTCTTTCACAATGACAGGAGTGTGGTGGCTACTCTGGCTAACACACGTTTTTGACCAGTCGGCCGCAATGGAGACCAATGCCCATAGAGCCCGAGGCGATGGCTTTACCTGCAAACAGTGCGTTCTCCTCTCTGATATTCTAGCTTGCCCAGCTGGGGAACTTCCCCCAAGAACTTCAGTCACTTACAAACTCAAGGTGTGGTGAGTCGGGCCACATGACTCGTCAGTGCCCGAATGGCTCGGTTCCTCTGAGACCCAGAAACAGCAATGCAGAGTAAGTTGTTTCTGCGCTTTCCATGTCATAATGTGCCAGGTCATCTAACCAATGCTGAAATATAGCGATGCTTATGGAAACTACAGCGGTGGCAATGGCGGCGGATATGGTAAATACGCCGGTGGTGGTGACCGCGCTTGCTACAACTGTGGCCAGGAGGGGTAAGTTGTTGACCTCCATGGGGTTGCTTAATTATACTGACGAGTATGTAGCCATAGCAAAGCTGATTGCCCCGAGCCTCGCAAGGGGGGTGGTGCATGCTTCAACTGTGGCCAGGAAGGGTGAGTTCTTGAACATCTTTTGTGTTATCGTGCTAATTGTTCTTTTAAAACAGTCACTCCAAGGTTGAATGCACCGAGCCTCGCAAGATGGGTGCTTGCTTCAACTGTGGCGAAGAAGGGTGAGTTATTGTGGGACATCGTGTGTGCTACGGCATTAATTGTTCTCTTGAAACAGTCACTCCAAGGCCAATTGCCCTAAGCCCCGCGTGTTCAAGGGTACCTGCCGTATCTGCGAAAAGGAAGGTCATACCGCTGCTGATTGTCCCGAGAGACCCCTTGATGTTTGCAAGAACTGCCAGGCTCAAGGCCACAAGACGATGGAATGCAAGGAGAATCGCAAGTTTGATCTCAATCTCGTTGCTGACATGCTTCCCCACGAAGGTTGGGCTGCAATGAAGAAAGCTAGTGACGAAAGGGATCTTGATGATTTCCGCGAGGTACCAGGAATCCATACGTAACTTAAAAGGGTTGAGCTTTGGCTGACCTAACTCTAGGCACTCAAAATCTACTCCAAGGCAGTTCCCGACGCCACCTGGGCTGATATCGAGCAGAAGATGCGGGAGGATGAGTTCAACATCTACATCATTGCTATGGTAAGCAACCATTGTCGTTTTGATGCTCAGGGATGAATTACTCATGAATTTTACAGGAGGCTGAAGTTGACGACGTGATGAGCCTTATCGACCTTCAGGGCATGCTTGATCGTGAGTACGTGATTGGATTGTTTTTTAGCCCCAAGGCGTCGCGTGGCCACCTTCGAGACCGTTGGCCTGCTGATGCCGAGGAGAACCTCGAACGCATGAACAACGCTGGTATTCCCTATGAGCGCAAGGTCCCTAAATGTCTGAACTGTGGAGGTAAGTGTTTACTTTGACTGCAGACATCTCGGAATGTTACTAAACCATTCTGTTCAGAGATGGGACATATCTCGCGCAGCTGCAAGGAGAGGCGCGTGGAAGGCAACGAACATGTGGAAATCAAGTGCTCAAACTGTGATGAGGTTGGACACCGCGTGCGCGATTGCAGACGGCAGCGCAAGAACAAGCGTGGTTGCCGTAACTGCGGGTATGTGGCTGTGATACAAATGAGAAAGTGATTAATGTTGACTTTTATGAAGATCTGTTGAACATATTGCTTCTGAGTGCACTGAGCCCCGATCTGCGGATGGTGTTGAATGTCGTAAACGCAACGAAAGTATGACAAGACCTCAACTAAGATGATCCATGTATTTCTTGATGCTAACATATCTATTTCAGCTGGCCATTTCGCCAAAAATTGTCGTAATGTTGCTGATCGTGGCCCTCGCACTTGCCGCAATTGCGGGTATGTCAAAATATCCCAACCGGAGCTCAGGAATTGTCGCTGGTTCTAACATAAATGTAGATCCGAAGACCACATCGCTCGCGATTGTGACCAGCCTCGCAATTTGTCCACTGTCACCTGCCGCAACTGCGAAAAGAGTAAGTGTGATGGACGCCCTGAAGATTTCCCTTTTCTTCGGCCATGAAACAGAACTGACAACCATTGTAGCTGGACATTACTCTCGTGATTGTGATCGGCCGAGAGATTATTCGAAGGTTCAGTGCAGGAACTGCGGAGAAAGTGAGTTGATCATACACACGTTCTTCATACATGAGTTTTTTCGCTAACAACCCCTTAGTGGGTCACACCGTGGTCCGTTGCCGTAAACCCAAAGAGGAGGAGCCTCGAGACGAACCCACTTACTCTCCTCGCTCTCCCAAGCGCGAAGAACTTGATCTTCGGGGCCTGGAGGCCAGCGAGCAACCGTTCCAATACAAGCGCGTTGACGATGACGACATGTGGTAAACACTACAATGCGATGCGAAAAACGGGTGACTGGGATTTCCTTTCTCCCCCGTTTATGATCGGCTCTATGCGAGACTCGGGTCTTGACTGTTCTTGGGATGCCTCACGGTAGCCCAGGATGGACAAGAACCTGATGTCACATATGGGGTCTATCCTTGCTCGTGGTTCTCAGCCTTCTTTTTTTTTTTTCAAATCTTGCGATGTGTTTGATATTAGCCAGCGATTTTACCCAGGAGTTCTACAATGATTGCTGACCGGCCGATGGTTTCGAAAGGAGAATGTTAAGAACTTTCACGCTCTGTTGAGCTCGACTTGATTTTGACACGCCTCTGGATGGGCTTGAGGATGGAGGGTCTGGGCAGGAGGCTCTGATCTGGGGACATTTCTGACGTTCATTGTTATCTGACTGGCAAGCTCATTTTCAATGAGACATCCATTTAGTTCATTCCTGACTTGTAGACTTGGAGTAGTTGTACCGAAATTAGTGGATGACGGCACCAAGTCTGAACTGAACCCTAAAAAAATCAGGTACAACGCGTGATGATTCTGACTTTCGGCATTGCTCAGTTCGGCGTGATCGAATTTCTCGAGCCAAGCCGGTTCACAACATGAAGGCCTGTATGGCATGATTCCCGATGTCATCAAACCAAGCACTCCGATGTCGATCATTGACTATATTAATTGCTTATGTTGTACTAGTATGGTCAGGGATGATAGTATTTACCATGTCATTACCGGGATGTACTGTGGGCCGATTTCGGGATTCCGAGCCCTACCTGGCCCTCGTTATTATTTGAACTAGCCGGGCACATTGTCATTGGAAGTCCAGATGGATGATAGTGCAGAATAGCAGAGACATGAATTTTAACGGGCACAGCCCGATTGGGAATGCACTGAGGCACTGTCAAAATCGGAAGTCCATAGCCATGAAAATATTGCATTGAGTAATGGTTATTATCATTGTCACTTTACCCCATATTTCACCATGGAGACATTCAAAGCGCCTGATTGAGTACCATTGTGTGAATACAGAGTAGTTGATACATCACTGGGCATCCGAATCGGGCATCCCGTCGGGAACCCCGTGCTTCGGCTTGCGCCGACTTGCCAATTTTGTATAGTAAAGACTCTGAAAACCAGTTGGGGTAATTTACAAACTGCTTTATTTTGCCTTCTTTTGGACGCATTACTTGATGATGTCATCGGAGTGGCTTGGCTATAGCCGGGTTGACCGGCTGAGGTGTTCGGGACGTGATGCCATCTCGGTGCGGCTTATACGGAAGGTTCATATCCCCCTTATATCCCTGCCAAGTATGCTTGGCAAACTAATGAGAATATATGCATAATGTGCAAAGGAGCAGTTGTACTCTGACTCAGTATGTTGTCTACCTAGGGGTAGTCCCTTCCAAAGATCGGCAGAGAAAGAATGGGGGAGTCCGGGGGGGGATGGAGACAGAATCTCCAGGTTTTTGTAATCCACATCGTCCTTCAATTCAACCCCACAGTGCAACATCCATCGAAAAAAGACGAGCCACGTGAGATTCTGTGTACCATGCAGCTGTCATATACTCCATCTAATTGACGGAAACAGAAAAGGTCCTTTCAACTTGATGCCATCGTGAACATTACCGTAAAACGGTACAATACCGGACGGATCCCGACTTGGCCATGCGAGGGGTCTCGCATGGCACGCACCTCTTACACGCCTTGCCCGGTGGATCCCGTGAAAAATCCTGGAGCGATACCGATGATCACCTCGGCCACGGGGTACAGAGGCTCGTTCCTCCCAATTGGGGCATGGTATACATCACCAATGTGACCTTGCTGTTTCTCATTGGCTTGCGTCGTGCTGGACTGATTTACACTCCGCTGACGCGAGATGTGGATACCACCTCCTTGTTTGATTCTGGGGCTCATAAGTTTGGACTTCCCCGGACCTGGCTGTTGAGTTGGATCTTCTTTTCTCCAGCAGTCTATTTCGAATACATTGACTATATACAGCCGGCTCTTCTGCAATCTGTACCCTATACAACATAGCCGCCATTATGAAACCATATTTCGGCCTTCGGGGCACGAACCTGAATATCATGATTGGTGTTATTGCTGGTCTGGACTTTTTGTATGTCTTTTCAATCTCTACTCAGAAGTATACAGCACTAACCTGGAATTGCATAGGTTATTCGGATATGACCAGTATGTTGTCGAAAGCTATGAGTCTAGTATGTTTCTTTTGCTAACAGCAATAGAGGTGTTATGGGAGGTCTATTGACACTGAACTCATTCGTTACGGTCTTCCCCGAAATCGACACCACTAAACCAAATCCATCCGGGGGTAGCAACTCGACTACACAGGGTATGCAACTCCATGGCAACCTTTTTCTATTCAGATACTAATTTATTAGGAATCACTATCGCTTCTTATAACTTGGGCTGTTTCTTCGGCGCAATCTTCTGTATCTGGGTTGGAAACTACCTTGGTCGTCGCAAGACCATTTTCGTCGGCTCCGTCATCATGGTGATCGGGGCTACGCTACAGACCTGTGCTTTCTCGCTGCCGCATCTCATTGTCGGCCGTATCATCACCGGTATCGGCAACGGCATGAATACCTCTACCGTTCCCACATGGCAGTCTGGTAAGTATTTGGATCTACTGGAGAGGAACTACAATGCTAATATTACTCAGAATGCTCCAAAGCCCACCACCGCGGAAAACTTGTCATGCTTGAGGGTTCCCTGATTGCTGCTGGAATTACAATCAGTTACTGGCTTGATCTTGGATTCTCTTTCCTCGACCCTAGCTCCGTTTCCTGGCGTTTCCCGATTGCCTTCCAAAACGTCTTCGCGCTGGTCATCTTAATCTTTGTGCTGCCGTTGCCCGAATCACCTCGCTGGTTGATTCTCAAGGGCCGTGAACAGGAGGCATTGGATGTCCTCGCTGCCATCTTAGACTTGGATGAGAACCATCCCTACGTCCACTCGGAATTTGCCGCTATCAAGGACGCAGTCCTGGCTGCCTCAAGTGTCAGTTTCCGTGACTTGCTCACTATGGATGAGAACCGCCACTTCCACCGTGTTGTACTTGCCTACGTCAACCAGATGTTCCAGCAGATCTCTGGTATCAATCTGATTACCTATTACGCTGCTTTCATTTATGAGAACTCTCTTGGTATGGATGGCCTGACATCGCGCATTCTAGCTGCCTGCAACGGCACAGAATATTTCTTGGCCTCTTTGATCCCCATCTTCATTATTGAGAAGGTGGGCCGACGAATGCTGATGTTGATCGGTGCCGCTGGTATGTCGATTTCAATGGTCGTCTTGGCCATTACCACTAGCTTTGAGGGCCAGAGCAAGCCTGGTATTGCCGCTGCCGTGTTTTTGTTTGTCTTCAACACATTCTTTGCCTTTGGCTGGCTGGGAATGACCTGGCTGTATCCCGCTGAGATTGTAAGGTTTCCATCTCTTTTATCTTTTTGCACCAAAGCACTAACAATGCAATAGGTGCCCCTACGCATCCGTGCTCCCGCCAACGCACTTGCAACCTCGGGTAACTGGATCTTTAATTTTATGGTTGTCATGGTCACACCTGTAGCATTCGACACAATCAAGTACAAGACATATATTATCTTTGCTGCCATGTGAGTATATTCTGCGCGAAATGGAATTGGTGCATGACTAACTCGGTTCCCAATAGCAATGCATTCATCTTCCCCGTTGTCTACTTCTTCTACCCAGAAACTGCCTATCGATCCCTGGAGGAGATGGACACAATCTTCCACAAGACAACCAGCATCTTCAATGTCGTCTCGGTGGCCCGGAACGAGCCCCACCGCTATGGTAAGAAGGGCGAGCTTCTCATCAACTACGAGAACACTGAGGAGCATCTGCGCCGTGCTAGCTATGTTTCAGAGAAGAAGGACAAGCTGGCTAATGAGACGGACGATGTGGAGACTGGAAAGGGTACACATGTCGAGCACCGCAAGGACAGTTCGTCTGATAGTGCATAGTTAAGCCTTCCGAGAAGGCAGGTTCTTATCTCATTTGATAAATGAACATCTCATGAATCATGACATAATACAATCATTCGGTATCGCATATCAAAAACATCGTGTAGGTCAAAGGTATTAGCGACAAAATCCAGCCACAAATGAGCCCACCCAACCTTAACTCACCCTCGACCACAACCTGCCAGCTGTTCACAGCGCAAAGGCCAAGCCGCCAACGATAGCAACCAAGACAGCAGCCAGGATGCCAGTCCCACTAACTCCCACACTCACTGCAGCACTAAGGCCTGGATCCAATGAAGTCCCCCCAATGCTTGAACCCGACCCAGTTACATCATCCCCAGCCCCAGCAGTAGCAGTAGCACTCGACAACGTGACAGGCTCCGACGAGCTTTTAAGAGAAGTCGCCGAATAAGGAGGGAAGTAAGTGTAACTAGACGACCTATCCTCGAACGAAGACGTTGCCACCGCACTGTTCGTCGCGTAAACAGACCAGACAGTTTGAGTACTTGTCCTGGTAGAAGTAACGGTCTGAACAGTGTAGGGAGCAAAAGAAGTCCAGTAATAGAACCAGTAAGTCCTATAAAAAGATCAGCAAACTATCGACCAACCAACCAAACTAAACCAGACCGAAGAACATACCAATAGATAGTCGTATAATAATACTCCCAATCAACCTGAACATAAGTCGTAGTCGTCGGCTCCGTAGTAGTGGTCGACTTCGTAGTAGTCGTCGACGTAACATCCACTGTAGTATCCCCAGACTCAATCCCATCATCAGACCCGACCCCATCATTCTCCCCAGCACACCCAAACACCGAACTACAACAAACTTTTTTCCCTTTCCAGGTCCGACACTTCTTCCCCATACGACAGTAGTACCCGTCCGAGCAGCATTCTCCACCTAGCGGCGCACACCCATCCGTCCCACTACAGCACTTAAATCCAATAGGACATGTTCCGCCGCCTGTGCAGCATGTCTCGCCAATCATCGCGCAGAAGCCGTTCCCGCAGCACTTCTGGCCGAGACTACAGCAGCGGCTTGTGTCATAGTCGCAGGTGGTGTAGCCGATTCCGCATGTTCGATCTCGTGTGTTGAGACTTGCGTTGCCGCTGAAGAGGGAGAAGCCATCGTCTGTGTTTACACGCGAGACGTTAGCGAAGAGTTGGGGTTCGTCTTCATCGATAATTGTGCCTGTTGCTAGGTTTGCGAGGAGGAGGGATAGGGTTAGGGTTGTGAAGGAGGAGAGCATTTTGGAGGTGGGACGTATAGAGTGTGGATATGTGAAGATGAACGACAGCCTCGTTCACTCTGGAAAACACCGTCAGATATGGGGGCGGAACTGCAAATTTAAGTAGCAGCCTCCGCCCTGAGAAATTGATACATTGATGCGGCTCAGTGCAGAGATTAATATGAATTTAAGGTTGCTGGTCGTATTCGCGAATCTTCAGGTGACATGTTTCCTGTGATTGCTGGATTTGTAAATACGAGGTGGTGCCGCTTGGCGCGGACTCGAGCCTCTTTTTGGTTTGGTATACGGGATGTTCGCGCTATGCGACCAAAAAGAGGAAAAGGAAAACCACGCTAGACATTGGGCATTGATCCTAGGCTGATTTCTCGTTGGTTATGTAGGTATGAAGGGTCTGGAGATGCTCTTGGTTTTAGGGCTTGGCGACCCCCCGTGATAGCGTTGTACTTTATTTGGTTAGACTTGGATGCTCGGTGTTTCTCTGTCGAGAATGAGACTTTGTCTATCTTGTTGGTTCGGATTGAATTAATTTGCTCTATTCGGAAACCCCTCTCGTGGCAAAGCTTGGGCTGTTTTATTGGTGGAGGTTGTGAAGAGGAGAGTTATCTCCCAAATATCCTTTTCTTCATGTCCGTATGACTACATAATACATATTACTAGGAGTGAAACATAAAAACATAAGTAGCATTAAAGTGCATGAGGCTCTGTAGTTAAGCAATTTGTACCTCAGCCAGTCCTAGCACTCAAACTTCCCGATCTTCCATACTAGATCATGCACACCATTATTGTATTTTCCGGCGGGGACTCTGCCGATCTTAGGGTGTTTGGTTGTATTCGACATGGGATCTCTTTTTTCGTTTTGACTTGTGAGTATGAGGTAGATCGAATCCCAAGGAACCGATGGTAGGATCCTGGACCATCTCGCGCATCTCAAGAGTTGGTATCTTCAACAACCTTCTTTCCTTGATCTTCATTGCTTGGTAGTTTCTGCTGCTCATCGACAGTGTCTTTCTTTCCCGGATCTTCCTTGATGGGTAAAGCCTCGTCTTTGAAATTATCCTCCTCTTTCCGATCGTCCTTGGTGAAAAGTAGGTCTTGCTGGTCATCGTCGTTTTCCTTCTTTCCTAAATCTTCCTTTGTGGGTAACTCCTGATTATCCTTGATGTTCTTTCCCTGCGCGATAAAATGGCCCTCTGCGGCCTTCCAGGCCTTCAGAAATGCAGCTCTCCTAGCTACATAGAATTTCTTCTCCGTTTCAGAGCCTGAATCGTCCGAATCCGACGCATTGCACATGGTAGAATACTTGTCCATCTCACAAATCGAGCGAGCCTTGTTGGTCTCCGTGGGCTTTTGCTGCACGGCCCGATGATTGATAGTCTCGTTGGTGGCAGTTGAAGCTTCATTTGTCCTGCTTATCTTTTTGGCCTCTTGAACAACATACGGACACTCGACCGGAGGATTCAAGTTCCTCTTGTCCATCACATCAACTCTTGTTTCACCCTTGGGAGTCGTCTCAGCACTGCCTCTTTCCGGAGAATTGGGCGGGACCGCCAAATTTCTCAAATAGTATTTCTGGCCATTACTGGTGGTCCAACTTCCTCTGATTTTGCGATTCCGGGTAGGAGCATTGATCGAGCTCCACTTGTCTTGCTTTTCGGGGGTTTCCGGACTCTCAATCGGACGCTTGAAGTTTCTCTCGTCAATCAAACCAATTCTTGCTTTGTCCTTGGGACTCGTCTCAGTACTGCCTCTGTCCGGCGAATTTGGCAGAACCATCAAATCCCCCGAATAGTACTTTCTGTCGGTAGTGCGGGTTCCACTTCGACCTCCAACTTGACTAGGATCCTCGCTAGGAATTTTGACTGGGCTCGACTTGTTTTGGTTATCGATGGTTTGCGCGGCAAATCTTACTCCCTTGGACCGCTCGGCTTCTTCTTCTTCTGACTTGTCGCCATGCCAGATTGGAGACTCTTTGTGCATGCTCTCATTAGAGCGGACGGATGAAAGGTCGAAAGGCCTGTCAGTTTGGGGATCTGTCACAATTTCTTCCCCTGTGGTGGTAATGAAGGAGACGGATGAATGGTCTAAGCGCCCTTCGGTTCGGAGACCGGTCACAATTGGTTCGCGCAGTCTGTCAACTGGGCGCTTAGAGCAAACGACGCAACGTATGTCAGCTCGCGGGTTTCTCACGATTCCCGCGGCGTTTGAAGACATTGTGAGTGGATAAAGGATGTAGGAGGCTTTAGGTGGGACTGTAGTTGCAGATGACTAGATGGTCACCGTAGGAGTGCTTAATATGAGTGGTGTCGGGCACACCAGTCTAGGTGGTTGCTGAGACTTAGACGGCTGACGTGTTGAGAAATGTATCGGAACAAGCTCACTGATGGAACTGGAGAAGGAATTAGTATCGACACGATATTGGAGCTAGAGATCAAATAGACAAAGATTGTTGAAAGAAAACAGGCAGACAAGCAGAGAGGTGACTATAGATGGACGTGTCAATGTAGTGGAGGTGACAATTCCAGGTAAACAAGAGGAAAGGGTGGCAAATACCTAGACCGCTGGGCTCAGGCTTTTAAACAAGCGTTTGCAGGAGACATGGTATTAGCTTTCATATGAAAGATGAGAGGTAACAGTAGATGAAAAGGCGAAGTGAAGGACACAAAGCAAATGGACGTTGTGATGACCTAATATGACAACTACGCAGCGCAGTTTGTAGGTAAATGGACAACATATATGCCCTCTTTTGGCTTTTGCCTTATGTCTCTTGCCTTTGGAATATCAGATATACCACCCACAGCCTTAGGCATCAAGTTCTATAGACATACACGCTCTTCTGGTATAGCACACTATTAGCTATCACTGTCCCTTGATCCAACCCTAGCTCTTGCGCATATCTGCATATTTCATCTTTTGACGTGTACATCGAGCCCTAACACCCGATTTGGATGTTCGATAGACCACGTGATATCCTCGAGACCGGTAAGCAAGATGATAATGAGAATATATAAAATAGAGAACTCGAGTTTTAAGAATTGCAATTGTAGGAGTAGTTCTCATTTCTTGGCATAGTATTTCGACTTGGATATGGGCATATGGTATTGCCCAATGGTCTATAGCGTCACGGCTTCTAATACTGACAGCTCTGCAAAGAACCAGATCTAAAATAATAATATAGAGATGAAAATACAACGTATACACACGAAGACCCAAAGGTAATAATAGCCTCGGGAAAAAAAGATTAAGGTTATCCTCGGTGAAGAGCTTGTTGGGGAAAAAAGACCGAAGGATTTTCACTCAACCTCTTAATCTCAACCTCAACAGGGAGGATTTTAATGCTTGAGCCTATGAGTCATGCGATTCGGTGTATAACTTTGGACTATAAAAATCTTTTGTATCGGAGACTTTTAAAGTGTTTTTCTCCGCCAAGCTCCACCCCTCCCTTTATCAGATCCGCAAACGGATTCTTTTCTTCGGGCATCAACGGACCTCAAGGTATGTTTACTCCTTGACCTCGGTAAAGGATTTAACATTATTGAAAATCAAACTATACATGAATTGTACTAACTCGAAATCCACAGAACTCAAGTGGCACTGCTTTTAGCCAGCTTTGGTACAGTCAATTGATTGCCCGCAAAGAACATCTACACACATATAATAAAAGATGTCCGAACATCAACATGCCTCTGTCAGTGTTGACAAGCATCCTGTCTCCGATACTATCTCCGAGCAACCAGCGGCCCCTCAGAGCCAAACGTCCTTAGACGAAGTCGAAGACCACAGCGTGGCCAACATCGAACGAATCTACAGGTGAATCGCATCCCCAAGGAAAATTCCATGTCAACAATTGATGTCATAATCTAACATCTAAACGCAGAAAACTGGACCGTCGCATCATCTCCGCATTCTGGGTCCTCTACTTCCTCTGTTCAGCCATCCGCTCGAACGTAGGCCTAGCACAGACAATGAACACAGACACCGGCCACGACCTGGCAAGCGTGCTCAATATATCCCGACACCAGATCTCAACCGCTCTAGCCCTCTTCTACGTGTGTTATGTGATCTTCGATCTCCCCCTCAAACCTAATCATGACCCGTTTAAGCCCCCACGTCTGGATGAGCCGCATCGTGATCAGCGTGGGCTTAATCGGCAGTTGTCTCGCCGCAATGAAGGCAGCATGGAGTTTCTAGTACGCACCTCACCAAACCCCCCATCCTTATCTCTATCCTATATCATATCTTGTTCTTGTATCTGACAACCCCAGTCTTCTCCGCCTCCTCCTCGGTATCGTCACAGCGGGCATGTGGCCCGGTATGACATATTATCTAACCCTCTTTTACCCGCCCTCCCGTATCGGTAAAAGGATTGGCCAGTACTTCACAGCCTCCCAAGTCTCCGCCGCAGTCGTCGGCCTCGTCTCCGCCGGCTTCCAAAAAATGGACGGCGCCCACGGCCTCGTCGGCTTCCAATGGATGTTCCTAATCTACGGAGTCATCACTGTAGCCCTGGGCTTCACCCTGTTATGGTGGTTACCAGACAGACCGACGCCGCCAGGCGAACCCGCGCCGAAACGCGCTCGGATGATGCGCTGGGTGCCTGCCACCCCGCCCGCGCTGAAGGGAGCCGATGCCGTCGTGCATTATCATGACCTGAAGCGTGTTTATCACTCGACTGCATGGACGCTGCGGGATCTGCTTGCGGTGTTTTTGGACTGGAGACTTTATCCGTTGTTGGTCATGTATTTTGGTGTTGTGGGTGTTGGGATTGGCGTGCAATTGTATGCGAACTTGATCATCAAGGCTATTGATCCGACTTTGAGTGATGTTTCTTTGAGTTTGTTGACGGCTCCGATTTGGATTGTATGTTTCCCCCTCCCCTCCGGTCTTTTTCTTTGCCCCCTTCCTCATATTTCTCGTCCTCTTTCATCATCCGCTAACACGTCACAGATGGACCTAATCGCCATCCTCCTCATAACCCCCCTCTCAGACCGCTTCCACCGCCACCGCGCAATCTTCTTCTCAATCCCCGTCCTCCTCCAAATCCTCGGCCTCCTCCTAACAAGCTACGCTGGCACAGACGCAAACCCCTGGCCCCGCTACGGCGGTCTTCTAATCGTCGGATTCGGACTCGGCCCAACAGTCCCAATAACAATGACCTGGACAACGGAAATATTCCAGCCCCGACACGGCGAGCTGGGCGTAGCTGCTGCGTCGGCCGTTGTCTCCGGACTCGGTAATCTGGGCAGTATCCTCACGACGTATGCGCTGTATTCCGGGTGGGAGAGTGACTACGAGGCCCCGGGCCGCGAGAAATACAGGAAGAGTAACCTTGTCATGATCGGGATTCTGGCGGCGAGTATTCTCTCTGCTGCGCTTATGGAGGGTATGTTAAGATTCGTTGATGGACGGTATTCGGGAGATGATGAGGCGGTTGACGGGGCTGCGAGACGGGAGGTGCGGCAGCGTGGGCTGCATGGGTTGGGGGCTGGTGTTACGCGTTGGTTGAAACGTGGGAAGTTGGCTTCTGCGTAGACTTGTATGTGTGTGGATGTGGCCGTGGTTCGACGGTAAAAGTTATTATATTTCTCTAATTTTGTTGCTTGTGTTGCTGTGTGGACTTTTATAGAACGATAGAAGGGAACGAATACGACCTAATTCCGGGCATGGCTTTTGGAGAATATCATGTTGAAGGCAAAACTAGTCAATTGAATGAAGTATTCTAGATCTATGCTAGAGGTTCGTGTTCGGCTATTTGAGACTGTCATACACTTCCTCTATAAAGGGGAAGATGCTGGAATGTCACACTAGATTGAGTTCAAGATCCTTGTTCCACGATCTGGGATACCCGATCTAAATAAGACCGATGACCAAAGGTGGACTTCGAAAAAGTACAAGAGCTCAATTGTTAAATGTGAACTCAGGTATGAAAATTACTCCGAGCAAAAAGAAGGTCAGTGCAAAATGTTGGAACTTGGTATTAATTGTCGATTCTCCAGAGGAACGATATCAAAATGATATCTCTCGATAAACGATGGTGTGGTTTTCCCATCCATGAATATTCTATGCTATTGTACGTATCACATTACCCAATGAAGGGTAGTCGAGAGAAACAGAAAAAAGTTAAAAAAAAAAGGTGCGGCTGGTGCAACGAGGGAGGGCCAGCAGGAACGCAATATAGGCGGACACTGGTACCGGGAGAAAGAAAGGATAGAACATGAGAAGAAAGACAGGAAGAGGAAGAGAGAAAAAAGACAGATCAGAGCATCTATAGGGGCTCCCTCACGCAGTCAGGCCGCTCTGGTCCGACTCCCAGGTTGACGCCGAGGGTATCGGAGCGCTAAGACCAAATGATTCCTATCCATTTAGAGGCCACCACACATAGTCTCAACGATGATACCAGTGATCTGGTAGGGATCAGCGTTCGACGCGGGGCGACGATCCTCAAAGTAACCCTTGCCGTCCTTGGCACACTGGCGGGGGATACGGATGGAGCCACCACGGTCGGCAACACCGTAAGAGAACTTATCGATGTTACCGGTCTCGTGGCGACCGGTGAGACGCTCCTCGTTACCCTCACCGTAGACGGCGATGTGCTCAACGTGGCGGGCCTCGAACTTCTTCATGGCGGCCTCAATAACCTTCATACCACCCTCGGCACGAGTGGCGTTGGTGGAAACGTTGGAGTGAAGTCCGGCACCGTTCCACTCACCCTTAATGGGCTTGGGCTCGAAGGAGATACGGACACCGAACTCCTCGGCGACACGGTGGAGAAGGAAACGGGACATCCAGAGGTGATCACCCACTGAAGGATGGTTAGTAGATATTCAATTACTGTCAGAGATTTGTAGGGATTTATAAAACTTACTATCGATACCGGGGCAGGGGCCGACCTGGTACTCCCACTGGGAAGGCATGACCTCAGCGTTGATACCGGAGATGTTGATACCGGCGTACAAGCAGGCACGGTAGTGAGCCTCGACGATATCACGGCAGTAGACCTTGCCGGTACCGACACCGCAGTAGTAGGGACCCTGGGCACCGGGGAAACCGCCACGGGGCCAGCCGTAAGGCCATCCGTCAGTACCGAGGAGAGTGTACTCCTGCTCCAGACCGAACCAGAAGCCCTCACTGGCGTTGGTCTCCATCAGGCGGTTGGCTTCGTGACGGTAGTTGAACTTGTTGGGGCTTCCATCGGCATCCCAGGTCTCGCAGAGGACGAGGATGTTGTCACCTTGGCGGAAGGGATCGGGGTAGTAAGCGACGGGGCGAAGGTAGACATCGGAGTTGTCACCGGGGGCCTGGTTGGTGGAGGAACCGTCAAAGTTCCATTCAGGAAGCTCATCAACACTTGTGACGGGCTTGAAGAGAGTCTGTTGAAACAATTCAGGTTAGTCGAGTTGTTCCCGAGGAGCGCTATCTCACGTGACGGCGGGTGGCTGCGTCTCATGCTAAATCAAGAATCCCCGTGCACAGGGCTTATCGAAGCCCGAGAGAGAATCCCAGATAAGAACATGCAACCGAGTCCACATTGTGTATAGTCCCAGATAAGAAACCGGAATTTGAGATGAGTCATACCTTTGTCTTGGAGCGAGTGCCACCGGTGGAATCAATCCAAACGTATTCAGCCTGAACGCGACCACGCTGGTCAAGGTTCATGTACTTCATGAGCTGTTTCCCATGTCAAGTCAGTATATGTCATTCCTCACTGGCTCTAAGGCCATTGTGGAAATCCAAATCAAAGAATCAAACGCACATTCCCCGTGTTGGAGACGACAGTTGCAGATTCAGACGCCTGTAGAGAGAGGTTAGATCCGGTTTCACATAGAGAAGAAATGACTCTTACCATAATGAATATGGGTATGTGTGTAGGGTTCAGAAATTTAAAGCAAGCAATTAAGCAAGTATTGGTAGAGAGTCCCGAAGGATACGGAAGTGTGTAAAAGCAAGTAGAATATGGAATGAGAAAATCCAAAGGAGAAGAGATGAGTTTTAAAGATGTGGAGGGGCAAGGGAGGGATGATAACCTTTGGAAAAAAGAATTTAAATTTAGTCACTGACTTTCTAGTTTGGGAATTTTTCTTTTTTTTAATTTTTAATTTTATTGAGAAAATCAGGAAGGCGCGGTTCAGCCACTCCCTAAATAGGTTAAGCGTTGTATTATAACAGTAAAGCGGTGGCCCAATACACGGTACCGAGAAAGTACCTCATACATTTGCGCGTAGCCGGCAAATCATCTCCTGAATCCGGTTGTCGTTGGGGGAACAGAGAAAAAGCCTCATCTATTTTCGTGTAAATCTTTCCCAATATAATACTTTTTAATGCCTCAACATCAAAATAGAACATTGACTATATCAAAAGGACCTTTTTTATTTTTCTTTCATAGCCGAGGGGAACGCGTTAACCTGTGAGATTGAAGTTTCAACTTTCAACCGAATTCAACGCCACTTTTACTAACTTCCACCGGGTGTCATCATCGTCGTATCATCCAGACTTCGCCGGTCCTTGCCGAGATATCTCCTCTGATACTTTTGATTTGTTATATTCGAAATCTAGATGCAAACTAACACTGTATTCGTTTCCCCTTTTTGTATTCCGTACTGTTGTACTCCGTGCATAGCTCTTCTCCAGACTTTCACCTCCGCATCAAAGATGTCTACACACAGCTCTCCCGCCACCCGAACCGGTCAAATTTCCGTGCTGACTGACGATAGCCCTAACTGGGGCCCAATCAGCAGTCTAGCCTTGTAATAAAAATGAAAGTAACATGTGTAATCCTCCTCCCGTTGGACCGATAAGATATATAAAAGTAGTATTACAGGGTGTAGGTAGAGCCGAATATAGCGTATGGCCTTCCCAGATCTGGTATCCTTATCCTGCGGCATTCTCTCCGAACTATGTAGATTCCTCTTATCCGGAAATTCATGAGATACACATCTTCCCAGATTCGAATGGAAAAATTCATATAGGAATACTGCAAGATAGTCGATACGTTGGTAATGCTTCTTAGCAACCAGCGCCAGGACCCCTGGACCGAGCGCATATCAGCTGCAAATCCCGCAAGTGCCTAGGGTAAAGAAGTCCAGAAGAACGGAAAAAGCAATGTAAATTCTAGATCCCTTTTCTGTCCGCTAGATTGTAATCTATTATACGCATTACAATTTTTATCACGCGCGCGTCGCGAGAATCAAAACGGTACACCATACAACGCGAACGGCTAAGGACTCCGCGGTTCCTGAGATCCTCGGAGCTATGGCCAAATGACAATAGCGCGATTCGTTATCGCATGGCATGTCAGCTGGCTAGAACTTCCTAAGTATCTGTACTTTTTATACGCGCTAGATTGTAGATGTTCCTGCAGGATAGACAGGTACCCACAGTATGTATGTACTTATCACGCGAGCCGGACCGGTATAGAGTACATCCGCTATACCTCTGTAATACCAAGGTCCGCACAAACTCCATCAACTGGAGAAGCCAGCCACGCCGCGACTGGGATCGATCAAGTCATAGCCGGTCCAGTGGGGTAGACCGTGGCAAAACGTTCTCGAAACCCCCGTCGATTCATCACCAGACCAATCAGACCCATTTTACTAGGACCGCCCCGACACCGGCCATGGATAAGAGAATTAAGGCAGTATTACAGGTCGACAAGGGATTTCACTTATTCATATGTGTGATTTCAATTATGTACTGTAAGAGTCAGGGTTGATTTTCTTGCTTTCTTAGGTAAGAGCCCTCAACCCGAAGGTTTAATATTCTTATATGGGGGTGCACAGAAAATATGCATCTCGGGAGATTTAGATCAGGGATTCTCCAAGTTAAAGTGGCGACAAGATCTCCTTCCCCCGTATTTTGTTCTTCGGCAAATGGAAGACTGGCAAATGTCGGAAGTTTCAGGAAAGGCGAGTGGCTGAGGTTCCGATCTTCAGCCCTGTCTAAGATCATTTCTCCAGGTTTTGGTATAATTTTAGTGCAATACCAACCCATCTAGCTTAGAGTCATATTATATTTAAATCTGAATACAATGTCCGTACATGTCTAGTTTGCCTCTGCAGGTATATTAATAGCTTGAGACATCTAGATCCCGGCTTAGTCAACCGGCCCAGTCCGGGGGCTATGCGGTGGCACGGAGGACTGCCCAGCTGTGTACCAGTATGTGTACCAAGTACATTGTGCAAGGAGTGCCTCCATACATAGTGAATGAAATGCATCCAAGGTATGCAAATGAGAGATATAATTCGTGCATATAGAGAAATAATACTCCGTGTGAATTCATGTGAATCAAATATCAAACCCCTATAGATCGACATTTCTTATCGTGTCCCTCTCATTGGCCCTTAATGCCAAGTGACAAACCACGCTGACTAGAATATCGCACATTCAACTGATATTCGCGTAATTCCTTTCTCCTTATTTGCCAAATCAATTTAAATCAGGTCATCTGTTCCAAATCTTACTGGGATTAGCCGAATTCCCCTAACCACATACATATTTTGAGGGTTTTATAGGAAAACTATGCTGCTAAATGCCTCATCGGAATGTTCAAAAGCGGAACTAAGGGCGGAACATGACACATGGTTATACCAGTTGGATCTTCAGGCTCCAAAATATTGTTTCCGATACAGATCACCAGCCTGTTTGGGATAGAGTGGTCTCCATGCCAAGACTTTGTACTGACGGACTTCCTGCCCAGCCTGTAACGTCGTTTATTCAGATCCCAAAGAACTTGCTGCCGAAATCCACCTATGACTCAAAATGATGGCAAATATTACATATACTTTCTTGGGGGGGATAAATGGAATGGATAGAAAAGTTGGTTCCTTGTTCTAGCTCGCCAAGGACTATGACATAGGTAGATCCGTCTAACTGGGGCTATTGTAAAAGCCTCAAAAGCGCCCATTTACGGTTAATCACACGAATGATCGGTGCTAAGCCCTCACTCCTTCATGTGACTTCAATTTCGAATAATGCCTCAGCCAATAAATGGTACTGGCATGGTATCCCTTGCACCTGGCAGATCTGTTCACCGGGTAAATTGAGATCTAATGCCTCATCTACAATCCTAGTCCAAATTATATATCTAGATCTGCTACCGATTTAGGAAAACAAAGTGATATGTCTATAATAATGTTTTCTATTGACGCCCAACTCTATTAAAATGCAGATCCAACCCCAGAACTGATCCATCTAGGCATCTTGGTATTCACCCTAACCATTCAACGTCGATCTAACCCTGTTTGCGCCTGATCTATGTTCCAAGTAGCACTCTCGGTAGGCCTCGGAAGGTGTGAAGCCAAAAGTGACGCACCATGTCGGCACGGTCCCACCACCCCGCATCATGTTTGGGCCTAGACTTATCTGATCGACTCTGAAACCGTCACATCTTAGGTACACCTACCTGCATATGCGTCCATATGAGAAATCCGAGATCCTTTCAAAGGTAGAAGAGTAAAATAATGTGCTGCATTAAAACATAGAATGTGGAATGCGCTAAGCTAATACATGTAGTTCACAAGCATGAGGCATTATGTGTTCAAAGAAAGACCACTGCACCTTCATCTCTTCAAGCAAATATCAAACGGCATCTGGGTACTATGTTTTATTGGCATTTGCTATCTACCTGGAGAATATAAATACCTTCTCGTCTTTCACACATACTCTCTTCTGATAATATTTTTCTGGTCATCTCGGTATCTTCAATATGAACTACATACTCCTTTATTTTTATATACATATTCATATCTCGTAACCTTGGCAGCGATGGAATGGTGGGTAGTTGGGTATGCATATGGAGGCAAAACCGGTCTCCTATTCGATTCTCTGAATGTACGGGCAAGGACCAAGAACTTCAAAAGGTTTTACACAGACGATTCGAGGAAGCCTCAACGCGACTTTGTTCAAAAGATCTGGACAAACATGTGGGCGACGGTAGGGATCTGAGAAAAGATGCGTTCGATGAAATCTCCAAGAGCGTTATTCTCAAGCCCTTCCCCGGGATAATGGTGTCCTCTATGGAAGAAAAGAAAGAACTTCTAAGCGCGGCGAACCACACCATCCTCCCTGGGACTCTGTCGATCAGGAACCTAACAGGATCTTACCTTACATGACTAGCGCTGGCCAGCTCGAGGCTACTTCACCTATTGATGACGCTTCTATATGGGTTCCTCCTGGTGCATGATACCCAATTAAGAACAAGTGTTCCGGGTTTTGTTCGAATTCATGGCTCCCAAAACAGGCAGATGGCTGTTCTTATCTGTTCGTGGGAAGGCAAAAGGGAAAGCTATGCTACTTCTCAGTACCTAGTGGTAGGGTCATGATGACCCTCTCTATCCCGGTTTATATACAGAGCTAGAAAGCGTTTGTAATATTGTGTAAGTTTCAACTTATTTAAGGAATCAATGATAATGTTGATATATATATATATATATATATATATATCACTGGTCACATTGCGTAATCTAGTATTTGATTGAGATTATCTAGAATCTAGATATCTAGGTCTCAATCAAGTAGAACTGGTGACAGAGTAGCCAATCAGTAGCCAATGGATTCTGGCAAAACAACCCTGGAGTAGCTTGGATGGTGGACTTGCCATGAGCGCCAACTGCTACTTCAGCTAGCAAGGTCTCACACCAGCCACAGTGTAAATTACGGCTCATGTACGACTGCACCTTAGAGGTTTGCAAGTCAATGTCAAGCATGAGCTATGAGCAATTGGGAGACGAGGAATTGCCTTGGTCTGTGAATACAAGAATGAATATTGTATCTTAGTGCCACTGGATCTCACCCATT